TTCTCAGCAAAGTCTAAAGATACCATAAATTCTCCATGCCTTATATTTTCTTTCATCTTTGAAAAGAATTCACTTAGAATTTTTGGCGATATAATCGTGTTTGGTATATAAAGGCATCTTCTTCTTGAGTTCGGCCCAAAGCTCTGTGATGGATTGTTCCCTGTCTAGAAGTTCACATCCAAACAAAAGACTCTTTTATGCCAATTGCTTTTAAAGCGGTAGGAGGATATAAAAACTGCTTACCTGTCCATGCAAGTCCATTTCTTGTACAGTACCAGTGACTCCTTAAGTAAGGTATCCAACCCCTTACCAATATTATGCTTGAAACCCGGACAACGATTGCAGTTTTGGAGAAAGCAGAACTTGTTTGCTGTGTAACATAGTGCTCCTTTCACCACATCAGTGAGGAAAATTGTTTCGCTGCATCCGGAGGGTCAATTCCCGTTCTGCGTTATCGTGAAGTGAAAAGTATAAAATTAACACCGAAATAAATACGGTGTAAAAGTGTATCAGTGCATCATTTAATCCATCAACTTCTAACTTTATGTTTTGGTGGGTTTTGCAAACATAAACATTATGGCTGCCACCACATCCCACAACGCAAAGTGAAAGAGTGGTGAAAGACGCAAAACTAATTTTTGTATCAGGATTTTTTAAAAGAAATTTTGTGTACAAGTCTTTGATATCGCTCAATAGAAGCCTTTTTCGTACACGTTGTTTTATTCCCTAATATAAAAAATAATAAGTTTCAAAATAAGGTGGCCAGTGGAAACTGTTTTTGATTTTTTGCAGTTATATGGTAATAGTCTACATTCTCTTCTCTCCGGAATTCATTTTCCAAGGTTTCAGTGCATCTACTGTATTTTTTTTTAAATATCTGCTAGGCGGAGAAAAATCGTTTCTTACAAATTTTACATAAGTATACTAAAATATAGTCAATTATCTTTAATTTGTGGTATTTTTTGTTAAATTTATTTATACCGTCGAAGAACAATGAATTTTTGAAAAAAAATTGATCTTAACTTTTGCAAAAATTTTACTTTTGCTAAAATATTCAGAAGACTAATTTGTGACGCCGAGAGCTATCGATTGAGATACAAATCATATACATACTTATATGACCAACATTTTTTTTTGTGGTGATTTGAAAAATTCTAACCCATTCTACATTTAAATTTAGCGGCTGTGGCTCCGTCACAGCCCGCAGGTCAAGACGAAGGCGCTGGACTAATCCTTTTTTTTCTTTTTTTTCTTCGGAAATATGATCTGTCAATGTTTGGATTTTTTCGTGATTCTGACTAATCATGTGCTTCTCCAAATCGTTATATCTCGGGTTCTGCTCATCGTAGAGACTTCATCTTAACTGCGTTTTAAAGCTAAAGCAACGGGCTATAATTACAACTACAATAAATACATATTAAATGGTCAAGATTGTCCTAAAGCTAATTCAGCTATTAACAGTTGAACTTTTTGAAGTTGATTTGCATAGTAAAGACCAGTAAATTAGGGATTTAAAATTATACCATTGTAATCCTTGTTTAATTCTCTATAAAAAACGTGGTTAAAAAAATTTCCATTTTCAAGAACTATTTTTAAAATTATTTCTTTATGACGAGATGGTTTATTTTGTGAGAATCGACATTTCTTTGTAATTTGTTTTCGAAAACTTAAGGTTGGTTTTCACTATGTCATATTTGACGTCAAATGTTGTCAGTTGAATGAAAACGGGTTGTCATATGGTGTCATATACATTCGTTGTCATATATGACCAAGCGCGGTCATATAAAATGACAGGCACGTGAAAACGGCCTTAATTTAATTTGACCGTTGATGTGGCAGCATTTGACACCCAAAATGAATTTGCCAGCATGTTGGAAATTTGTTTTCGTTTGTCGCGTGCACAGCTGTTTTTCTTCTGCGCCAATTTGCATATCAAAGGTAAAATTTGCAATATTTTTCTAAAAGTTTACTTATTAATTGTTTCCAATGTTCTTTTCAGTGTCAACATATGAGTGAAGCAATGGACTCCAATGATTCCTCAGACTTCGTTAGCCCAAGCGGTAGCAACATTGGAACGAAGAAGCGGGTTCGAAAACTGAAGGAAAAGTGGACAAACGAGCAAACGGAGAGGCTGGTGCAAGAAGTAGAAGCAAGAGAAGGCACGTGGAATTTTCTTTCCACTGAATACAGGGACAGGAATTTGCGAGAGGCTCAATGGCAAGATGTGGCGGATATTTTGAAGATGCCGCGATCGGAAGTTTCAGCCAAGTGGAACAGTCTTCGCTGCTCTTTCCGCGTAAGTACCTTTGCGATATTCATAAAAATAATTGCTAAAGAAACTTTAATATTAGGCGGCCTTCAACAGAAAAGGACACACCAAAACTGAGCAAGGAGCAGGAAGAGCGACTGCAATGACTCCGCTTTACAATTCGCTCAAATTTCTCGAACCGACGTTGCGAATTGAGGCCAGCACAACATCAAATTTAGGAAATGTGAGTATATGCATAAATATGTAAACAATTTCATGATTTATTAGTGGTTAACTAATATGTGTGTCGTTGATATTGTAGAAGTGCCCGTCGCCGCTGAACTCATCTGGATCCCCAGGTGAGGCTGAAATTAATGTGGAGTCTGACGATTCGCAGCCAACGCCATCAACATCACGGGCAGCGGTAGTACAACGTCGTCGAGGTTGTTGAACGTGCGTTAGAGACCATATCAGCAGCTGGGAAAAGTGATGCTTGGGACGATTTGGGTAATTTCATTGCATGAAATGGTCGTGAATGGGCAGCAGAAACCCTGCAACTGGCAAAAGAGTTCAAGGCGAAATGTATGAACTGGTGTTCAATTATCAGGAGAAATTCGCACGGTAAGAGCAGTAGCAAAACTATATTGATAAAATCTTAATTCGGATATTTCTTATTTTATTTTTTAGGCCAATAATGCCGTATTTTTTGTGATTTCATCGTTCATCGATCGTTATCTGTTCACTTTCATTGTTTTTATTATGGCTGCGTTTCTTTATACATTCCGGATAATCCCATTTCACAGCCGGAATAAACAGAATGTGTTTGAAATATACGTTAACATATCATCAGGAACGTTCTAAAGAATAAGTAAACAAAAAAGTTTATTCCAAACGTTCAGAATGAATAAAGAAATTCAGCCTATATGTATTTATGGTAGTCATAAGCAAGCCAAATGAAATGTGCCTTATTTTTTGTTATATTTATTTATTTTTTCTGTTTTTTTTTTACAGTATGCTGCCAAGAAATTACAAAGGGTATTCAGATGTTTGTACTTTAAAGTTTATCCGATTTTTTTAATATTGCTTAATTTTTTAAGGCTATAGTGAATTCAATAACATAAAGCATATAAATCGTCAAAATTCAACAAATTAAAAGAAACCGGAATAAAAACTGAAAATATTTTTAAACGAAATTTTTAGCAATAATTTTGAGTATACTGTTTTATAGGCTATTCAATTTTAATATAATAAAGTGCCAATTTAAGTCGCTCGAATTTCGCGTTAACAAACAATAATTATTAAAAATCAACGTGTATTTTTAGAGTCTTCAAACTAGCACTTTGTTATGATAAAATTTAGTGAACTATAAAACTGCATACCCATAATTTTTTTAAACGTTAAGGTTAAAAACTTTGTTCATAATTTTAATGAAAATTTTAAAAATCTGCAAATCTTGTATAATGCTTGAAACTTCGATAAATATGGAATTGGTTAGACTTATAAGAAATTACCAAAAAAGTTTTGACTTGCCCAATTTTGTTACATACATACATTACTTTGTGTTTGGTCGTAATTGATTGGTCACATATTGTTCATATATCGAGCCCTAACCGCCAAAATAACGTAAGCGACATTTTTTTCAAAATTTTCTTTTTGATGCAGAAATGCATCTAGTCTAGGAATATTTCTGCATCAAAAAGAAAATTTTGAAAAAAATGTCGCTTACGTTATTTTGGCGGTTAGGCCTCGATATGTTCGCATAGTTATACATATGTATTTAAAGTACGGTTGTACACTGGCGATCTAAAGTGAGTGCATGATGTTTTTTGTTTAATATTTGCAATGCTTTTGAAGTTAAAATTGTTTTGCTAACTTTTTATAAAAATATGGTTCATGCTTTAATCAAAACCACATAAGTCAAACTTTCAATCTTTATACAGAACTTAGAAAAATTCAACAAATTTTCATCTAAATTTTTTACTTTTTAATCTGAATTTTTAGAAGAACTTTGGGTACGCAGATAGGTCGGATATGTAGTTCTATGCAGTTTTATGCTTATAATAAGCGAAATTTATAAAATATAGCGTTAATTTTTGATTAATTTTATTGCAAATGGTAATGCGCATTTTATTCTACAAGAAATTCCCTTTTTATATGGTAAGAAGTGCAAAAAACCGTCAGCAATAAAAAATCATTAAAAATCAACGCGATTTTTTATCCGCTTAAAACTTACACTTGTTTAACTAAAATTACATAGCCGATCTATCTGAGTACCCAAAGATTTTCTAAAAACTCAGATTAAAAAGTTTAAAAATTTAGATGAAAATTTGTTGAATTTTTCTGAATTCTGTATAAAGTTTGACTTATTTGTATTTTTATAAAAAGTTAACAAAAAAATTTTAACTTCAAAAATATTGTAAATATTAAACAAAAAACATCATGCACTCACCTTTGATTGCCAGTGTATGTACATATGTATAAAGTGGGTAAACTACAAAAATGAGTTATGCAGTATCGTCCTATTGTATTGCCATGCAACTTCACCGTGGGGTGTCAAGAAGTACTCTATAAAATTTTTACGCACATTTATTGCGTTGTCTGCTGGCCTACCTAAAATGCTGCTGGGACGTATTGATGGAAGCATTCCGTTTTCTCCCAGCTCCATTCGCCAATTACCGCGCACAGCAACGCCGTTTGTATCGTCGTCGACGTCAGATCTTCGCATATACACTGATTTGCGTGTTAAAAGATAATTATGTAAGACACAAATCGCGAGGACAATAGCTTTTGCATGTTCCGGTTTTACGTCCATTGGCCTTCTGAGAATTCGGAAACGCGATGCACATTGCCGAACACATTTTCTACTACATTTCTTGCTCGGGATAGTCTGTAATTGAAAATTTTGTACGACATAACTTGCTCGCGATAACTGAATGGTTTCAGCAAGTATGTTTTTAAAGGAAACGCGTCGTCAGCTACGATGACAAATGGCATTTCAGCACTTTCATGTGGAAGTGGCCTTGGGGGCGGAAAATTAATTGTATTATCGGCAAAAGCAGTTGAAAGAGGGCATCTGTATATTTTAAAATAAGGTATTCTTGTTAAGATTAAAGTACAATATTTTGTATCAGTTTTACCTTGCAAAAACACCACCATCGGATTCACGACCATATGCTCCAACTTCTACAAACAAAAATTTGTAGTCGGCGTCCACCAGAGCCATCAGGACAATACTATTGTATTTTTTGTAATTAAAATACTCTGAACCGCAGTTTGCAGGCGCCTGAATCGCTATATGTTTTTCATCCAATGCCCCACAGCAATTAGGGAAATGCCATCGCTGGTCAAAACGGTCGGCAACCTTTGACCATTCTTCATGAGTGCTAGGAACCTTGATGAGTAATAGACTTTGCACTTCGTCACATTACATGAATACTCACCTTTAAAAAATCATCTTTTAAAGCTTCGAAAGTAGCCCCACATGTCACAGATGGTGGTTTTCCCGATTAGGAAAACAGTCATCAGGCTAGAGAAGCTATCGCCTGTTGCCAAGTAACGTAAAGTTACGGCCAATCTTTCGCCCACCGAAATCGCTTCTCGGAACCTTGTGGTATGTTTGAATATATATGGGGTAAGGCGCTCCACAAGGAAATCAAAATCCTCCATACTCATCCTCAAAAAGTTTTTTAGCCACTTTGGATCCTGCAGAACCAGCTTAGAGCGCAGTGTAGCATAAAAAGCACAGATGGCTCTATCTCTCAGACCTGGCCGAATCCACCATTGCTTTTGCTTCCTCTGTTGGTTTCTCTTCTTTTTCCACGTCCTTAGTGTTTTTACTACACATAGCGCTGCAGTAGCTATAGCAATTTGTTTATTTTTGCGCATTACTTCTCGTATAAATTATTTTCGTACTTTTTTTTAACAATTTTTCTTTTATCACCTGACCGTCTGTCAAACAATTTCACTTCACGTTTGACATCATTAATGAAAATGGAATGTCAATCACCTGACACCAAAAAACTGCTATATCGACATTTGGTCAGTTTTTATGAAGTAATGAAAACGCGTTTGACACCAAATGAACAGCTGTCAGATGAAGGCAGTTTTTGATGGCAGTGATTTTGACCTAATGAAAACCAGCCATTATGTTGGGATATATTTGGTAAGGTGTTAAACATCGGGTTTTTGCATACAGTAACAAAATCTTGAAGCGAATCGGAGACATGACATCATCTTTTTTACGAAATCCGTCCGACTTAACCCTAGAACGCATAACCGGGTACCCGTGTGTCCACTAGCAATTTTGAACTGCAGTAGCTAAAGCACCTCTACATGTTGAGCATTGATACTTCGGATCTAGGAAAATAAGGTATTTTTGCGTCGTTTGAGTGGTCATTTATGAAACTCGGGTTTGTGGTACCGCACCTCTAAGCTTCTATAGTCGACACCTACGCAAACACATAATTGGGGTACCCGTGTGGCCACTAGTTTTTATATGAAAAACATAGCGAATAACAAGATGTTTTAATTATCCATTCCCGCCCAACCGACACGAGGGGCGGAGTCCGCATAACGTACGGAACCTTTTTGTGTTTTGTTTTAGTTTTTTGGTGCCGAGTAGTGGAAACAGGAGTTTGTTAAGTGTCGAGATCTAAAACTATTCAGCTACAGAATCAAATTCATCAGCTGATTGGATATGCTAAAGATAGTATTTCAATTATTGAGAGTGAAAATGATAGTTTTCTTTATAGTAAAAATCTAGTCCGATATATCAAACGTGCTGGAATGAGAGCTAAAATCTTGACATAAACAACGGAATGATTCGTTTAGTTCAAAATTAGTTTTGCATGGCTTCAAAAACAGAGGTCGAAAGTGTCTTGACATTCGAGAGGGCACATTAAAAGTGACCTCAGCCAGGAGGGCCGGGCTATTAATCAAGTCTGTCATTAATTTTACGATAAATATTATACCTAGCATTTCTCTACGACTTGCGAGTGTAGGCAAATTTATGAGCTTTAGACGACTTGTGTAAGGGGGGAGATTGTAATCCGCATCCCAGTTAAAGTCACGCAACGCAAAAAGCAAGAATTGTTTTTGAATTGATTCAATCCTCTCTGAATGAATTTGGTAGCGGAGATTCCAAACAATAGATCCGTATTCTAGTATAGGTCTAACTAAAGTGGTAAAAAGCGGTTTTGTAACATAAGGATCTTTTGACCATCGCTTTACAAATGCAAAAACGCCTTTGGCTTTATTGACTGTAACATTAATATGATGGTTGAAATTGAGTTTGGAATCCATTGTGATACCAAGATCGACAAAATTGGATACCTGCTCCAGATTATAATTTGATATTGAATAAACAGCTGGTTGAACAGCCCTCCGAGAGAAACACATCACTTTACATTTTTGATGGTTTAGTGGCATATAGTTTGCATTACACCAACTAACCACGTTGCTCAGATCCGTTTGTAACAAAGACCTTTCTTCGATAGAGGACAATGTTTTAAAAAGTTTCACATCATCGGCATACATCAAAATTTTTGAATGTTTTATTATAGAAGAAATATCATTAATGAATATCAGGACCAGAATCGGACCAAGGTGGCTTCCCTAAGGAACTCCTGAAGAAACTTTAATGATGTTTGAAGAACAATTATTAACAATAACTCTTTGTGTTCTATCAGAGAGGTAAGATGAGCTCCATTGAAGAAGACTGGGCTGAAAGCCGATTAGGTCGAGTTTACGGATGAGTAACGAGTGACATACTTTGTCAAAAGCTTTACTGAAATCGGTGTATATTACGTCGGTGTGATCATTTTCTCTAAAACCGTTTTAGACATGAGTTGTAAACTCCAATGAATTAGTGATAGTAGATTTTCCGTTAGAAAACCCGTGTTGAGATTGTGAAATTGAAGAAGATATAGAATATGTCAGCTGATTAACAATAATTGCTTCGAATAATTTGGGGATAGCGGAGAGCTTCGTTATGCCTCGATAGTTTTCTATAGAGGACCTGCTGCCGTTTTTGTGACGTGTTATTATGAAAGACTCCTTCCAGGCTGACGGAAAAACGCCATGTTTAAGTGACAAATTGAATAGAGTTGTTAAAGGCTCGCAGATGTTCTCAGCGCAGTTTTTAAGAAAACAGGTCGGAATATGATCAGGTCCAGGCCTAAATGCCGCTTTTAAGGTTTTTAAATAGTGTAAAGCTTCATCGGAAGATATTACTGGAATATAAGTAGAGTTGATTGGACAAAGCTCGTACGGATAGTCTCCACTTATAGGGAAGTCTACAGAATAATTGGACCTAAAGAACTGGGCAAACATGTTGGCAATGAGTTGGTTGTCGCTAGACACAGTGTTGCGATAATGCATAGCGGACGGAAAACCATGTTTACGCTTTGAATTTACGAAACCATAAAATGATTTAGGATTGTTAATTAAATTCTTCTTAATTTTACATAAATATGAGTTATAAAATTTCTTATTTAATGCAAAGTAGCTATGCTGCAAAACTAAGTACTTTACGTAATCACTGTGTAAGCCCGTTCTTTGATATAGTTTAAAAGAATGTGACTTTTTATTTTTAAATTTTTTAAGCTATTTAGTGAACCATAATTGTATTGGCTCTTCATGAACAATAGTACGTTTTGGCACATACTTTCGAAACAAATTGAAAACAGTATCATTAAAGTGCTCAACGCTACGCTCCACGTCATCTCTTTATGATTTCGTAGCTTAACTCAAGAGCGGGATGGTACGCATCCTCTGGCAAAACATGGGGATCACACCGATTAATAGAGGCCTTCGGAACAACATCAACGTAATTGTATTGGTTCTTCATGAACATTATCAACCATAATTGTATTGGTTCTTCATGAACAATAGTACGTTTTGGCACATACTTTCGAAACAAATTGAAAACAGTATCATTAAAGTGCTCAACGCTACGCTCCACGTCATCTCTACATATTGGCCAAGAAAACTTTGAAAGTTCTTTGTTTATTTTCCTTTCGCAAAAACATATCTACTACTTGAACTAAACGACTTATTATTATGTATTTCATTTATGATTTCGTAGCTTAACTCAAGAGCGGGATGGTACGCATCCTCTGGCAAAACATGGGGATCACACCGATTAATAGAGGCCTTCGGAACATCATCAACGTAAACAAGATCCAAGACCTTTCCAAACTTATCTGGACATATATTTATTTGTTTAAGGCAAAGTTCAGCCATTTCCTCCAGAAATACATTGTAACTATCTCTAGATGAAACTGGTACAACATCGGTGTCAATGATGTTCCATGAAATGTGTGGCAGATTTAAATCGCCCAAAACAATCATAGAACCGGATGCCGTAAGCATTGCATTTGCGGTCTCAAGTAAAGAAACTAGCTGCATATATACTGATACGGCAGAATTAGGAGGGATGTAGCAAAGAGCTAAATAAATATAAATCTTTCCAGCCTGTACACGTATACGTTTAAATTCGGTATATTCAATGACAGGAACACTAACTTCCTCGGATGGTATCGATGAATGCACCGCAAAATGAACACCACCGCCGATTCTGCCCTCGCGGCCACTCCTGCATATTTGATATTCATTTGGAAGAATTTCGGAATTAAAAATATGAGGTTTGAGCCATGTTTCGGTCAAGGAAATAATATTATAATTGCAGTCAAAACCTTTTAAATATAAGTCAGTTAATTTGGTATTCAAACCTCTAACGTTTTGATAGTAAATACTTAAATTAGACTTGCGAGTTAGTTTTTTGAATCCGAATTAAGATTAGAAATTATAGCTACGTTGTTATTACTTTTAATAGGTTTATACTTAAACTCGCGAACAAACGCCCCGGTCGGCCAAAATTAACTATTTAGTAGTGAATCAAAATCTTCGGAAGCTACATCAATTTTAAAAGATGAAATATCGCGATCGTATTTAAAATTAAATTTACGAATAAATACATCTTTAGTTTTAATTTTAGTCGATATGTATGACTTTATATCATCCGAAGAATATCTTTAGCAAATCTAGAGACTGTTAAAGATAAATACAACTCAGAGGCTTCAACTGCACAGCAACCCCAATAAACATATGTGACGAGAGTGCACTTGTCATCGCAGTCCACGCTTTGTGCATACTCTTCGTGCGAGCTTTTTGATGCGCTGGTAGTCGCTGATTGGCTTGTCGATCGCGGTTGTATGTTAGCTACATATGTACATATGTCACACGATTGACTCCGAGTACTAGTTTTTTAAGTTGAAGAATTTTAGAACGTAGATAAGCTTTACAATCGTGGTACGGGTGGCTGTAATGTATTTGGACGTGAAGTCTACTTAAATAAAAATTGCGTTA